CCTTTATGTCCTTGGCTACTGGAATGAACTCCATAAGTAAGGCTCGTTTCTCTCATAATTCATCTCTGAGCCATCATGATTTGCTGGTTAAGTGGAGAGAGATATATGGGATTGAAATGCTGAAATACTGTGGCAAATAGGATATTAGCAATGGGGATAAGTTGCCAAATGAATTTTTCTTGTGTATTTTTGTGTTTTCTCCTTTCAGTTCATCTGGCTACAAATGATCCAAGATATGGTATTTCTTTTATGGCAGCCTTAAGAAAGCTCAAGAATTGTGGACAATGCATGGCTGGGATTTTCAGTGCCCCTTTTTATTCTTGCAAACTTGCTCCCCTGATACTTTGTCCACATCACTGCCCAATACCAGTACACTGTGCCCACTCTGCACAGAAACCAAACTGTTTGAAAATAGGCATATGCTGTCCCTACGCACACGCACGGACACACTCTTCTGGACATTAAGAATCAAGCTTGCTGTGTCTGTGATAGTTTCACTGTTGATATTTGTAGAAAGATAACTCTTCCTTTTTTTTTTTTTCCCCCCTGAAGGGTATGACCCCACTAATGTACGCCTGTGCTGCTGGAGATGAAGCCATGGTCCAAATGCTGATAGATGCTGGAGCAAATTTAGACATACCAGTGAGTCATTGCAGACCCTCTCCTCATAATTATTCATCTGTAAACTAAAAAGAGCAGTTATGAAATCTCTCCTAGCAACTGAAGGCTTCATTTCTGGAAGCTTCTAAGCAAGGCACTTCTTTCAGAAACCATTGCTTCAGGGATTTGGGAGGAGGGCAAAATCCTTCGAAACCTCTTGGAGCACTGAGTGGCTGCAGTTATGATTGGCATTGGCAAGTCTAATAGGCTTGGGGGGGGTAAAGGGGCCTCCCTCCTCAAAGAGCTGCCGTGAGGAACAACCCATAAGCCCATTAAAAAGGCCCAGGGGACCGGACAGAGTGACTGGTTTCTCTAAATGGCGTAAGTTACTGTTCCCTGGGGTTGTCACTTACAAAGAGAAAAGCCAGTTATGTACAAGTCTAAAGATTATGGCAGACAGATACCTCAAGGGTTAATACCTTCCTGATTTCTTTCTCCCAGGTTCCCAGCACCTCTCCACGATACCCTTCAGTCCATCCCGACAGCCGGCACTGGACTGCTCTGACCTTTGCGGTTTTACATGGGCACATCTCTGTGGTTCAGGTGAGCAGAGGAAATCCCTCGGCTGGGAGTCTGTATGGGAGACGCAGAGGGACTGCAAGGCAGCGCTGTGAGCTGGGGGCTGGGCAGAGGTGTAAGCAAATGGAGGCTGCACACACTCATTTTCTGTTTGTGTACATTTGTAGATAATTACAAAGGTTAGATTCCACCTGGGAATTACAAAGGTTGGACAGCTATAATTTACATGTGAGAAAAGAGTGTGATTCTCCCAGGAGACATAGCCAAAGCTCCTGCTGGGCTGCATTACCCATGTGTGTTTCTTTTATTTTGGTTAAAATTTCTGAAGATTACATTTTTTTTTTTCGTTCAGCAGTTATTATTGAAAGTGTAGATGACAGCTTTTGCAGAAATTGGTGTATAAAATCACCTTTCCAGTTAAGTTCTGCCATACAATACTTGCATGGGATAGCTGGCATCTCGAGAGAAACAAACCAGCAGTCGTGCTCTGCAAAAGGGTTTATAACAAAAATGTGAATGTGTATGCTGTTTGTGCCAAGGCCAAGATCATCACTAACTGGGGATGGCCGAAGCTGTTAAAATTGCAGCAGTGTTACACGATACAGCTGAGCGTTGGCCGCGCACGGACAGGTCTTCGCCTCCCTGCCATGGGAGAACGGCTGCGTCCACTGCCAGCAGTGCTCAGGGTGCCCCGGTGCTGCCTGCCAGCCCAGCTTGGCCGTAAGAGTTCCCCATCGTCTTGTAACCTTCTCCCCTTCGTCCAGGAGGGAGACATTTCCCATGCGAGCAGCTCGGTGTGCTCAGTGAAAGCAGGTTCTGTGCGTGTCAAACCGCTGCCGCTGCCAGGGCCTCCTTAGGCAGGCTCCACGGGGAATGTTTGGCCTGCAGGGCTAATTCCCTGGAGGAACCCTGTTTCCTGCACACAGCTTGAAACTAAGTAAGGTGGGCTTCCTGCGCGGCAGAGAAGCTCTGATTGCAGAGCCCTTTGGAGTTGGGAAATTGCAATGGTAAAATCATTTGTATAAAGGAGATACTTTAAAAAAACAAAGATAGGTGATGTTCTCCAAGCTGCCAGCTGAGCACCTTTCCAGCACAAACTCCTGAAAGCACAAGAAAATAAGAAACCTCTGAATTGACATCCTTTAGCCCCTAGGCTGAAGGAGGAAAGGGAAGAGAAATTTGCCTTGCACTAGACACTTTGCTTTAGCCTTGGAGACGGTCCCTGTGTGCGCGTGCACTCTTCACTACGCTTTTCCTTCCCAACACACAGCCTCTTCCCTCTTGTCTTTCTCAATCGCCCTTTTTTCAACTCCTTGTCTTTCGTGTGGCTCTCGTAGCTGCTCCTGGATGCTGGTGCCCATGTTGAGGGCTCTGCCGTTAACAGTGAAGACAACTATGCCGAGACGCCTCTTCAGCTGGCTTCAGCAGCAGGTAAGCTCCGTGCAGCCGCCGTCTGCCACAGGATAACCGCAGCTGGTTCACCTCTGCATCTGCAAAACGTTAGGAGTAACTCTGCACTGTGCTCTGAGGTGCCGTGGGCACGGTAGGGGTATCAGACGGGTAGCACAGTCAGTTGGATAGTAAAAAAAATCAGCATTTTGGTTTTGGTTTTTAAAACACCAGTAAGAACCCACTGGGGTTGAGAGCGACTAACAGCTGTCATCACGTGGCGAGAGCTTGGTGGGGACTAAGTGAGGGTCTGCTTTTGCAACTAGTACCAACGCTTACCTCCTGCCAGGGCCTCTGATACAGCTGGCTGAAACATCGCCTTTGCAGAGGGCACGGCCAAGAAACAGAAACTAGCCACTGCCTAGTCTAGGATTTATTTAGATTGTGGATCTAGATAACTTCCAGGTGTAAAAATTAACAAGTTCAAATTCATCCTGAGGAAAAATAACTGCTATATAAAGAAATTTGATGTATTATTAAATACAAGTAAAATTCTGCATTTCTTCTGTCTGTTATGAGAAGTTTGGTGTTCTGTGAAGAAGTCGGTGCTAGCCCCAAAGTACCTGTTGTTTTTCAACACTTTTCACCTCAAACTGGTTTTGATTTTTTTCCTTCATTTATTTCTGCTTCATTTTTGCGTGTTTATGAAAACAAGTCTCTGCCTTGCTCTGCTCTGAGCTGTATTGAAGGGATAGAAAAAGGCCTCCTCCCCTCCCAGTGACAGATACTCCTTGTTCTGGGTCTCCTGCCACCACTCAGTACTACAGCTCATGAAAAAGGTGGAAAGGCCTGGTTGAACGTGGACTGCACCGACACACTTGCCTAGTCTGGTCGCAGTAGGTCTCTGCTGGTTTGTATTGAAAACACCAGACCGGTTTAATTCTCTCGTCATTCCACCTCTAACTAGTTGTGTATTAGTAGGTAATTTAAATGCTCTGTCACTCAGTTTCTCCCTCCAAGATGTTACGAAGACTAATTCATGCTTGCAGGGTGCTCCAAAAGCCTTAGTTGGTGGCATAAAAGTTGCTGGTGCAGTGACTGTTACCAGTCCTCTGCTATATGCACTCAAAAGGTAACAGACATGGAATCAGCATTACATTTCTGTCCTTTTCTTTCCTAGGGAACTACGAGTTGGTCAGCTTATTGCTAAGCAGGGGTGCTGATCCGCTCCTGAGTATGCTGGAAGTCAATGGTATGTCTTCATCGCTTCATGAAGAGATGAATTGCTTCAGTCACTCAGCTGCACACGGGCACAGGTAAATCTCCGTTCGTGTTCAGAAGAAGGTTTTTTGCCTAAGGCTATCACTGTAGGTATTCCTGTGTGGCTTGATAGTACATGTCTTGTACCCAAACCCCTGGGTCAGCAGTTCAGAAGAGGCCGTTAAGACTCTCCCAACAGCACAAAACCCCCATTTTTTAGCGCCACAATTGCTCGGGCTGTTCTGATTCGGACGTAGGTGTAGTGCCTTCTGAGCCTTTCGGGAAACCGAAACATTTTTTAACTGGTAGTTGCTCTCTATTTCAGCCCTCTGAGAAAAAATCATGCAAGACTCATTACTCAGCAACTCTAATAAAAGAAAGGCACAGAATAGAACAGAGATATCTTTCTTTGCTTTTGCTTATTCTCTCACTTGCTAGTCCAGCTCTGCAGCACCGAGAGTCAGCAGGAGCTGGTTCTAGGCCACCCGTGAGCACACCATATTCAGCCTCCGGGCAGGTTATGAGATAGTGATTCATTTTCTGAGAGAGAATCCAAAGGCATTAAGGAGGCAAAAATAATCTGCAGCAGAATTTGGGTGGCTGCATCTCTGGTTATTGGATGGCCTACCAAGAGATCGATCATTAAAACACTGAAAAGCCAGACTGGGCTTTCCAAGCCCATTTTCAGGGTAGTTGTTTAGAAATAAGACATTATTTACAAACTTGTCCAGAAATCCTTCTATTCCCAGAAAAAACGTTAGCATAACGAGCCAATCAAAACAAGCTTGAAACCACCTTTGTAGATGGGCTGAGAGAGATCTGCAGGGTCTTACAGCAGTGCAGCGGGCCCTTCCTGTAGCACGTTAAATAGCAGCTACCTTGCTTCAACAAAGCTGTGCTTTAAGGGGTAACAGAAGTGCTGCTCCAGGCACGTCGCACATCCGACACACCACCAAAAATATCCCAAGCTTAAATGAGGCCCAAACTCTGCAAAGCTGGAATGGCCTCACACAGTTATTTACAGTGGAAACGACGCGCTGTTCTGTTCCCACTTGTCTTCTGCGACACTCACCATGCAGCCTGTGGAATTCAAGGCTGCTTCTCCAATCAGATGAGGCAGGGTGACCGTAAAGCACAAAATTCACGTTTTGTAGTCATCCCGAGTAGTGTGGGTGCACAGAGAGCACCAGCTAGTGGCAATGCTGTGTCACAGCTGAGACCCCGGTGAGACTTGCTGGGATGGGAAGTCTGCTGCAGGTGGCTCTAGCTCTCACAGGGACACAGCTGGACACACGTAAGAAAACCTCTTTCTTGCAACTGCTGTGTGACATTCCAAACCAGAAAAAAAACCCTCACTGAATTTAGTGATGCAGAACTATTATTTTTTATGGTTTTTATTTACTGACACAGGAAGTGAGTCTTGGGGAAAAAGCAAGGGTTCCAACAGACACCCTCTGTTAAAGTAAATCTTACTCCAGAGCTTAAGATGTTCCCACACTCAGGGCTGGCAGAAGAAAGTGTGCTCCTATTGCAGTAAAAGCAGTTTGCCCTAACACTCCGAAATACGCCCTGGTACCACTAAGGTGCATATTCCATTCTTCTCCCTTGCTACCAGGGCATCAATTTTTAGCATGTGGGATAGGGATGCTGCTCTACCTCTGCCAGCTGTCTACCTGTGGGAAGGAAATTACTATTTACAAAGCCAGACCCCCTAAACCCCAATCACCACTGAACTGTCTGACTTGCTGTTGTTTCATTTACTACTGAGAGATGTCTTCTCCTCCTCAGGAACGTTCTGCGCAAGCTGCTGACTCAGCCCCAGCATCTGAAGGAGGATGTCCTCTCGCTGGAGGAGATTTTAGCCGAGGGGGTGGAGAGTGACACCTCCAGCCAGGGCAGCTCCAGCGAGGGGCAAGTCAGGCTTTGTAAAACTCGAATGAAGGCTCTGCAGGAGGCCATGTATTACAGCGCGGAGCACGGCTATGTAGACATCACCATGGAGCTGCGGGCGCTTGGTAAGGTGCTATCTTTATTTTAAGCATTGCACACATTTAAGGCGTGAAAAGCTTTTTCCTTTGCCCCTTTCGCTTGGAGAAGAATCTGTTAACCACAACTGCAAAGCTATCCCAAGCTTATGGAAACCAGCTGTCTAATTTAAATAAAGTGTTTAAGGCTCCTCACAAGTTTTTTTTCCAATTCCCACTGATCTGGGATGTTCTTCATTTTTGGCTGTATCTTCTGTTCCCAAGTATCAAAGGGCATGTCTTTTCATCAGATACTCTGACACCTAAAATGCAGTGTTAAAAGAGGCTGGTCTCAAAACCAAAGATAACATCAGAGATTAAATGGTTTAAGGTGAAAGAACAGATTCGATCTAAAGGTAGGAAAAGAGAAGCATTGAATCTTGTGTGTCTAGACTGTTACTGGTAACCAGGAGGAAAGACCTCACACCATGTTTGTGTAGGGTTAGGTATTCTTACAAGTGCAGCTCAAATTCATTTTGTAGTTCTGACTAATCATGAAGCTAAAAATACACCCTAGGGAGTCTCTGGTCTTTAATGATCAGCAGAAAGTCCCAACTTACGGTCCTGGTACCGATCCTCTGCCGTTCTAGGTATGTCACTCAATCTGTCCCTGACCCAGTTCAGTCATCTTCAGTGCCAAGACAAAAACGTACCTGGTGTTAGGATGCATGTAAAGACCTATTTCAGTGCCACCGAGTGTTAGTAAGGACAGTCTACTCAGAGGTACTTCAGCAAATCATTATCCTTCAATGTCCTTCTTGCTGTGGCTACAGGAGTCCCATGGAAGCTCCACGTGTGGATCGAGTCACTACGGACAACCTACTACCAGTCCCGTTACTCAGTCGTACAGACCCTCTTACGGGAATTTGTCACCATTAAAGAAGAGGACTATAATGAAGAACTGGTTAACGAAGGGTTGCAGCTCATGTTTGATATCCTCAAAACCAGCAAAGTAATTATTACTTTAGTAACTATCAATCTTGAGTGTTTGGGTTATACTTGTTATACAAGTTAGCACACGAGAAGAACAAGTGAATGTCTACACAGAGTCCCTAATGAGTTAGAGTATGAGAAGAGCCCTGCTCGCCTTCATCTAAATTCATATACAGCCCACAAAAGCCATCCTCACCGTCAAGACATTAATTTCTGTAAAGTGAGAGCCATTTGGGTAAAGTCCCATTCAGCAACTGGCTTTTGAAACCATGTGAATGTAAGAGGAAGAGTTCTCAGTACAGTACTGGGCAATTAAGGTTCTCTCAGTAGCACCTTCTAGGGGTTTTCTCAGCAGTGCTTTTGTTCAGTGACATTTTCCTTCTTCTTGTTTCTTTCATTTAAAGGTTGTCTTTGCCTGTTTTTTTCTTGCTTTTTAAGGCATGTCTAGGGTGTATTTGATCCATGGTACGCAGTTTAGCTGCCCTGTTCTGCAGCTAAGTTCACCCAGTCTCTGCCGTGTTCCCTCCCAGGAGGCTGTTGCCCTTCATGCCAGGGGGATGCCTGCATTCTGACTGTGGAAAGGATACGGTGGACGTGCACAGGCAGGGGCAGCTGAGGAGTACAGCCCTCAATACCTCCCTAATTAGTCACTACAACATACATGGTAACTGTCCTTTAAATTAAAAGCAAGAGATGTAACTGGCTAACTACAAACAACTGCAAAGTAGGAAGCGGAACTTGGTATCTGACAGTGAACTGGTGTCGTGAATCCTGCAGAGAACTTGAGGACTCAGCTGTTACGGAGCAAGTGAAGGATGAGCTTTTGCTGATGGACTCTTTTTCTCTTGACAGAGTTTGGCCTGTAGAGAGAATTCTGTCAGATCAGACTTGTTCAGATCCTGCTCTTGTCCCTCTGTTTGGAGGTTATTCTTGTAGAGTGCGGTTACTGTAAGCCTCGAGTGAACTGTAACAGCACGTTTAAAACTTCCTTAACACAAAGTGCTGACTGACGCTACCTTTTCCATCCTCCTTGCAGAATGCTTCTATCAGTCAGCAGCTTGCATCCATCTTCACCCACTGCTACGGCAGCAGCCCGATACCCAGCATTCCTGAAATCCAAAAGACGCTGCCAGCTCGGCTAGGTAAGATGCTCACCTAAACAGTGAAGTGCCTGTGTGTTGGGGGTTTTTTTAAACTTAGGTTTTTTGAAACCATCCACAGTTTCAAAAAATATTCACACTCTTTTTTTTTCCTACCCTAACAGATCCTCACTTTCTAAACAATAAAGAAATGTCTGATGTAACTTTCTTAGTAGAAGGAAAGCTATTCTATGCACACAAAGTCCTGCTGGTTACTGCATCTAACAGGTGGGTCACTTTCCACAGCTAAGTACAGATTGTTAAAGGAAGGTTTGGCTCTTCAGTCTCGTGTTTGTGCGTCTCCTCTCACTCACTCCCCGCAGTAAGGCAAAGTGTACAGACTCCAGACCATAACTCAAGTCTGCAGGACCAAGCCACATCAGCTTTACTAGTGTTAAGAACAGGAGAGTAAAGATGAGTTTTTCTAGCCACTCCTAGTATGTGTTAGAGATTCCTACAGCTGTACTGACATAACCAAACCAGGAATTATCCCTAAAAACCTGTGCGGTAGCTGGAGTGTATGTATCCAGCCATTCACTGCCTTCCCGTTCCCTCTCTCAGCATCTGCTGCCTAGAGCTACACTGGCTCCATCTTTCCTGGAAAAGTCACCCCTGCCATGATACACTCACAGTTATTACCTTCTTTCTCTGTTACTGGCATAGTAACAGTGTTTTGCCACTATTACAGGGATTAGATCAGACCCAAGCCATTTCCAGGTTAAGCTGTCCCTAAAGTTCTAAACTAATTGAAAGAAAAGTTTCAATTTTCAACTTGCCAGCAAGAAGAAGGAAGGATCTTTGTTCCCCCTCGCTCAGGCTGTTTGTCAGTAGATAATGAGTCTGTGAAGCACTAATACCAACATCTTTTACAACCGTTCTCAGGTTTAAGACGCTAATGACCAATAAAACAGAACATGACAGCCATGGCAGCAAGACTGTTGAAATCAGCGACATGAAATACAATATTTTTAAGGTATGCAATTTACTCTTCTTTTTATTTATTCATCTTCTGACATACTTGGAAACTAAGACTAAGCCAAGGCTTAATATCATACGTAATTCACAAGCAGAGATGGAGTGCATTTCAACACACCTCTGTTTCAAGTGTATTCTCATCTTTGTCAAAACTCACCAGCTAGGACCAACCTTAAAACACAAACCTCCAGCATACAATCTTATTTTCCCCTAGTGCAGGAGAAACTAGTCCACTGAAAGTCGTTTTATACTTTCAGGACACCATTTTCATACTATTTAAGGCACCGTTTTCGTGCTGTGCTAGGCAAAAAGTAAGCTTATTTACAGCAGGTGGACTGCCAGGCTTTGTATTAATTAAATCAGTGGTGACCCCTTGCAAAAAAGGCTCAAAGCTGAGAACTGCACTTCTATGACGCTTCTGTATTTAATGGACCTACGGGAAGTTCATTCATGGTGGAGAGAAAGTAGGTTGCTTCACACACACACAAGGAAAGAAAACGAGTCAGTGAAACATGGTAGGGAAGTTACGCCAGCTCTCCAGCTCTGCATTTCAGATCTGGAAGCACAGGACAGCACAGGGGAGGTGAAGTGCAGAACAGGCTGTGTAACTGTTTTGCTACAGGTTGAGCTTCTTCCTTTTTCCCTTGTTATAAGCCAACCGAACAGCAAAGCTGTTGCTCAGCAGTACCGTCGTCCCACGCAGTGGGAACGAAGTAGACAATACCAGTATCTACAAAAGGGGCTGTACCGGTTTTGTGTTGGACAAGTGACATCCACATTCTGCAGCTCAGGCCATGACAGAAAAAGTGTATTGAAACCAGGCTCCTTCACAACATTTTTACATCAAAAGGTTTCTGGAGAGAAACTTTTACTTCACTGGAGAGAGCAACAAATCAAAACAAAAGAGTGAAATACTCAGAATTAAACAATCTGATGGTGAGTAAAAATCAGGCAAGTTAAGGAAATAATAGCATTGCACGCAAGCTCAATTATGGTGCGTGAGGAATGCTAACCCAGCCGAGATCTGTGCTCAGGGCTCTGCTGGGAAGCCGCTTTGCTCCCCTGCAACTCCGTTACACAAATAAGGCCATTTTAAAAGTGGAAGCTTAGTTTTGTTACCACTGCTGGTGGAAGTGGTAGGCACAGCATGCAGCCTCCACACCTTGCTTACACAGCGCCCAGGACACCACACCACACCTCCTCGTTCCCTAGGTAAGACAGTACTGGTTTAGCCGGGGGCGTGCACACGTAGATCCAAGAGCAGAAGCTGCCTCTTGCTCTCCCTGCAAACAACTGGGCCTTTTCCTCTGGCCCTGATGGGGGTCTGGAAGCTGCTCAGAAGCACAGTGGGGGGAGGCAGGCAGCTGGGAGGTCCCTGGGACGCACACACTCGCTGCGTGGCACGTTCGGTGCTCCAGCTAGCTGGCAGACCAGGCCGCGGCGCTTCATAGACCTGGATCCAAGGAACCGTTCCACAAGACCTTTTGTGTTGCTCAGAGACACGCTGTCACCCTCAGCCTAAAATCCCCAACAGGGCCCTTTTCAGAGCCCGAGGAAGAAGAGTGTTAAAGAGCAGCAGATTTGCAACACCAGTACGAAGCCCACAGCGGAGGCAAGAGCCAGCACACCAGGCGATTCCCATCTGCTCAGGAAGGGGAGCTCAGCCATTCACAGCCCCTAGTGACTTCAGTGATAACAGCTTCATGCCTGGCCTTCTTCCCATTCCAGATGCTGATGCAGTATTTATACTATGGAGGAACAGAATCTATGGAAATTCCCACCACTGATATCTTAGAGGTGAGAGTGTTTTCTTCTAAGTCTTGCCAAGCACACTGGGGCATAAACACAGCTTGAAAGGCAGAATCCAGAAGTTAACAGCAAGCTTCCATTCCAGAAGCACACTTAACACTCTGAAATGAGCTTAAAGTTTCAAAACACACAGTTGCTTGGAAATAAAAACTGCCAATTACGGTTTTTTATGTCCCTGGCGGGTGGGCAGCAGCAGGGAGGGAAATCACTACAGGGCTTTTGGTACCTAGAGCTGGGCGGAAGCCTCCGCTGTGCCAAATCCTCTCCCTCCTGGAAGGAGGAAGCGGGTGCACTGGACGTTTGGTGGGGCACAGAAAAGGTGCTGATGGTAACAGCAGCTCTGGTGCTGGCAGGAGGCCAAACACCAAGGGGCTGGAGACAGAGAAACGGCCGATCTCAAGCTGCACTTCTGCAGAGCAGCTGATGGCACCACAAAGACCAGACTAAGAGCACTTCCCCATTACAAAAGGGTCTTTTTACAATAACGCTGCTCAGTCACGAGTACTCTGGTAAAATTAGAGCTTGTAGCTGAAGACTACACACAACTATTTTTTTTTTTTTGAGGAGAGGAAAGGGGCTTTGAGCAGTCTGGCGCTCATACATCATGGTGACAGAAGGTACCACAAAGCACTTCCTGCAGGCATCGAGTGGCCTTTCTGCTCTTTCATGAGGACTCGGCCACTGAACCAGGGCGTCAGAGGTCATTCAGAGAGGAAATCATCAGTTCTGTCCATTTCCCTTCCCTAAAAGCCGTTCAAGGCTCATGTGATCTCAGATAGCTTCTCTCTTGTCCTAATAGCTGTTGTCAGCTGCCAGCCTGTTTCAACTGGATGGCCTCCAGAGACACTGTGAAATCCTCTGTGCCCAGACGATCAGCATGGAGAACTCCGTTAACATCTATAAATATGCAAAGGTATATGCCAGACGGCCTTCTTTCAGCACCGCAGCGAAACAGCATGCATGCTTTCTGCAGCCGCGTTTCGTAACGACATGGCACAGGCAGAGTGGGCACCTGCTATGCCAGTAACTCTGCCCGACTGCAGCCACACGTGAGGTGTATGCAAGTCAGTCCTGCACAGCACGAGGATATTTGCGTGTCTGAAGCAATCTATGAAATCGATGTAAGATCCCCCCAGAACAGGGGAGAGGTGTCTTAGCAGGCTGACACAGCAGCATCAGCCAGCAAAGCCTGGGAGGTTCAGATCCTCAGAGCAGCAGGGGCAGTTGATCAGAGTACAGCAACTGAGAGGTAAACCCTTTCCTAGGGTGCCTACTGCTAAAATATGTTCTTTACTGCTCCAGAACTAGCATCTACTCTGTTGTGTGACAGAGCTACTCACCTCTATAGCAAATAATCTATCAGTGAAATGATGGAGAAGCACTCTGCTGCTCCTGGAGGTCTGCAGGGCCAGATCCTATAAAGACAAGCAGAAAGCCTACACCAAGGGTGATAACGATGTGCATGTTTACTTTGCGTGTAGTGTCATACTGATCCTTTTCGATTCCTGACTCTCACACTGGTCCTTTTTTTTCCACAAAACTCAGGCTGGTTTCTTTCAAGACCTAAAGTTTAAGAGTCTGCAGTGGTAGTGAGGGGGAAGGGAGCATTCCGTACTGGCCTTTAGTATTTTCTCCTTAAATTACAATTTGCACAAAGTTGCCAGAAACAGGGGGAGGTGTGTGTGCCCGGGCTTCTTAATACTGACCTTGAGTTTCATTCTTGGGCTATTCCTGAGCTTCCCCCACTGATTGTGACGCAGAGGGAACCAGATCACAGCCAGAAATCCACCTAACGTGTTTTAGAAGCGTAACATCCCCATCTTCCTCCAGTCAGCTCCTTTTCCTAGGAGTTACGCTCACATCCTGCGAACGGCATTCTCGCTGCTGGGAGCTGTGCGCACTGTCTGGCAGCGCAGCGTTGTGTGCTATGGCACACCAGCTCCCTGCCTGCACGGCTAAACAGGGATCTTGGCCGCTTCGTCAGCCAGCTGCTCTGCTTCTTTAAGGGTCTGCAGTGCAGGCCAGTGGCTCTGCCAACGGCAGGCCATGGGGGAGGGAATTAAAAAAGCTTGAATGCCTCCCTGCTCACACCCACGCCTGCAAAAAGCACCAGAAGAAATTAGCAGCCATCACCAGTCCTACCTTTGGTGCTTTTCCACCGTTACCACTAACGTTCTTTTTCTGGCTTAGAAAAAAAGGGAAAAGCAGGTGAAATAAGAAGAGGCTCAGGCGTGTCCTCTAGGTTTGCACCACAGAGGAAAGACTTACTGATCTTCCTCTCTCCCGCAGATTCACAACGCACCTGAACTAGCCTCTTTTTGTGAGGGCTTCTTCCTCAAGCACATGAGCTCTCTCCTAGAGCAGGACTCGTTCAAACAGCTCATCTACAGCAGGAACAGCAAAGTGCAAGGCCTGGACCCGCTGCAGGACTTGCAGACCGCCCTGGCCGGCCGCCTGCACTCCGTGTACGTCACCTCCAGGGTGTGAAGCAGGAGCAGGACAGCGGCAGGAGCGCCGGTTCACACCGCGCAGCAACGCGTCGTCGGGCGAAGCTGCGGCTTTCCCCTCTGCCGTCTGGATCTTGCTGCAAGCCCCCTACAACAGCCAGCCCCCAGGCAGGGGTGCTGAGCTTCGTCCCACTGACAGAGGGGCAGCTGGCTCCTCTGTGCTACTACTGTCACAGCAGCACTGCCACGGCACAGACGAGAAGGGGGGATGCGAATGAAGAACCTGAACCCCATCAGCGCCCCACAGGCCGTGCAGGGCTGGAGAGAAGCGAGGCTGTTCACCCAGACCCAACGCCTCATACGTGGTCTTAAGTGTCTGTACACCGTAACGGATGCCCAGTTCACACACACAGATGTTTTCCTGCTAAGACAGCTGCGTAGGAGTTCTCTAAACCTACGGCCCACGGCCCGTTCGACCAGTCATCTGCCTGAAGACAAAGGCTGGTGCCCACACACTACTCCACCGCCGGAATCAACACCCGCGTCTGTACACGGCAAGAGACTGACATAAATCTTCCCTCCAGCTGTCCCTTGATAGAGAGATTTTGTAGATCTTAAATGCTGAGTAGAAACTAGTACTAACTCTGAAATTAGTCACTCTTCAATATGAAAAACTGAGCTGGGGCAGGGAGGGGAATTTCTTTTTTTTTTTTTGCATTTGTTTAATACAGTTTCACTGTGCTGGTTGTCAATCTGGATCCACTTTGAGGAGGAAAACACGAGGCTGTCTACCCGTTCACTAATAAGGTTTGATAGTCCCAGTCACTTCCACCTTAAAAACCTGTTTCTGAATGTTACCTGTTCCATAAAAGATGCTTTCTAAGACTCAGGTATAGGAGGAGTTAGCACTGCACCAAAAAACTGTCCAATAGCATGAATAGCAATAAAAGTCTCCTCAAACCCCGAGGAACACAGAGCTGGAGGGTCGGCTCTCTCTGGAGCTAGCTGAGGGTAGAAGCTCTGACCTCCAACCCCCACTCCCACAGCCTCGTCCGTGGAACGATGTTTCCACAGCTGTGCTACCTCAGTGGGGACTGGGCACAGCCCACACCTGACTGGTTCCTAGGGAAAGGGGGAAGCGCGCTGCCGCGCTGGAACAAGATGCCTCACCTCGAATGCCCAGGATTCCCATCTTTCCTCTGTTGGCAGCAGACATGTCTCTGGCCCAAGAGGGCTCATCCCAGGCCCCTTCTAGCTGACTCAAGGAGGCAGTGCAGGCAACAGCGCTGAGTCTGAAGCACCGGGTGTTCTTATTTCCGATAAGCTCAGCCGTAGGAAGGCTGTGTGACACAGACCTGGCTCTTACCAACAGCTTTAAGGGAGGACCCTCCGATACCCCCTCTGCGCGCTGTCAGCGCCCACCAAAGCGCCGGCGAAGACGTGTTGGTTCGTTGGAGGCGGGTGAGGGAGAAGAGGAAGCCAAGTTTTCAGTGGAGAGCTACTGCTGCTGAGAAAGTCAACCCTTAATACTGTAACTAAGCACACGGGAAGGAGGAGGCTCAGCTAGGCCCAGGCTCCAAAGCACAACACACACATGGTTGGGAGAGGTGAAGGGAAGGAGAGCGAACTCCAGCATCTCCCAGCAAATCCATCAAAACCTGACCCTGCCTCATTCCTAAAGGATTCACATCAGAGGCAAACTGCATGGAAGGATAGGAATTACTACTCTCGGCCCTGCACGCCAACAGACAAGTTAAGTTGGCCAGGGCATGCTACGATTTGTGCTTCAGGTACACATCCACTTCTGCAGATCACCAGCTTCAATACCCTATCTATTTATTAGCAGAAAGCCAGAGAGGTGTTTCCAAATTATCACTGGTCTGCCTGAAAAATACCACACAAGGCTGGGAGGGTATTTTCAAGTAGCTGCTCCAGCTATCTGTACAAATACGTAGGTCCCCTTTTGTTGCTGTAACATTACAATGCCTTGTTAATTGTACATTAATGTTGTCATTTATGTAAATGTACCAGGATTTTATTAACAACGTAATTTTAAAATATACAGCTTCTGTCATTTATTCTGCTCTTCGAACAAAATGAGAATAACCACATTTCAAGACACTTGTGTGGAAAAGACGGTTGCAGTTGAAGCACCTTGATTTTGGTTTGGTATATATACACCTGTTACAGCAAGGGATTCGTTTCCCCTTCCTGGGCTCAAGCATTTTTGAAGCAGTTTAGCTCGCATTTCCCCCAGCCGAACTAAGGTTACCTGCAAACCAAAGCAGACGGCGGTGCCTAAGAAAAAACCCTAATTCTAGGATTCTTCTCCACAGCAGAAGAGCTGGTGAGGGATAAAGCAGCTATGAGCTGGCGGTATTCGGGCAGTGTGCAGAAATTAAACTTCCGATTCACCCCCTCCCAAATGCTAACGTGGAAAAGCAGGGAACGCTTCCTTCCCGAGTCACCTCAGAACCCAGCAGGCTAAAACAGCTCTGGCTGGTGCCCTGTGTCTGCAGCTTCACTGTGCCAGGAGCGGGGTTCAGCTCAGAGCTAAGAGCACTTAACACTGACAGCCACACAAAGTCAGGCCTGCAGCAGTGTGGGAAACAAGGGCATTTACTTCTGAGGAAAGCTGCAGACAGGTTGTCAGAGCAAGAATTTGACCCAGAAATATCTCTCCACCACCCCCCTCCCCCAGGCTTACCCCCTAAGTCTTTGCAGAACCCAACAGAGTCTGGGGATATGGCCAAGCTGTAAATCTGAATATGGTGCTACCTCTACAGGACTCCAACACTTTCGCCAGACGCTAATGGGGAAACCATTAATACAGCCAGAACCTGTATCTCTTCACAATTATCTTTTGTTGAATTTCCCACCACACATCTAAAGAAAGGGAGCTGTGCAGCGTCTCTCTCCAGTGCAGCAAGACTTGAATCACAGAATCACAGAGCAGTTT